AGCTCCCTCCCTCCAGCAGTGGGTTCCTGGCAGCTGGAGTTCCCAGCAATCCCTGAGGGAAGGAGAGGATGACAAGCAGGAAACTCTGTGCAAGCCTGGGACCGAGCATCAGGCTGTTTCTCCCTCTAGATCCTGGGGCTTGGGGAGTGGAGGGAGAGAGTGCGGGTATGGGCCAGGAGGGCCCCACAGCTGGGCTCTGGGGATTGAGCGGGGGGCAAGTATCTGGGCTAGGGGGGCCCTGTGGTTGGACTCTGGGGAGTAGGGGATTTGGATGTATTGGCTGCAGGGGGGCGGGGGGAAGGGGGAGAGCTGTGGGTGTCTGGCCCATGGCTGGGCTCGGGGGATGGGGACAAAGAAACAGGAACTGGGTTGTCATAGGGGTTTTTTTACTCTCTACTCCCAGGAGAATTTTTGTGTCTGTATTATTACAGATATACTTGCTGACAGGTATTTTGAAATAAATTAACAAAATAACTGAAACTGGCGTGATTATGTAGTGTTATTTTGACAAATAAAATTTGCAGAATTTTAAAATATTGGGCACAGAATTTTTAATTTTTTTGGCACAGAATGCCCACAGGAATAATCTGACCTCCGTATCACAGGCCAATAAATTTCACTCAGATACTCCTGAATGGAGCCCAATAACTTCCACAAAGGCACCCAGTCTTGAGCTGATAAAATCAAGAGCTGGGGAAACCACCACTTCCCTTGGTAGTCTGTTCCAATCGTTGTTCACACCGATCATTAAAAATTCCTGCCTTATTTTCAATTTTGAAAATGTGTAGCTTCAGCTTCCAGCCTTTGGTTGTACTTATTCCTTTCTCTGCTACATTAAAGAGACCCTTAGTATCCTGTATCATCTCCCTATGAAAGTACTTATCCACTGTGTTCAAGTCACCTTTCAACCTTCTTTTGATAAGCTAGACAGATATGCTTTGCAAAAAGCGTGCACATGTCCACATTGGGGGTGTGAAACAATTTAACTAAAGTGGTTTAGAAACTAATTAATTGTAACTTCTAGTCTTGTGGTAGTGAGGAGGCATAACATTAATCTCATTTATCAAATCAAAGTTGGGGGTGGGGGGGAAGAGGAAAATAATTGTTTCAGTCTGTCATGAAGTGCCAGGAATTGGACTTTATTGTGTCACCCATGGATTGCCGAATTCTGATCATGAATAGCTTTCTGGAGTTTTCCTCCCGAACTTTAGGTTTAGCAATTTGCATGTGATCTGAATTTGCTTCTTGGGATTGGTGTCTCACTAGATAATTTCTCTAAATTTTACCTGCATCATTTACAAAACTTAAACAGAGGATTAAAAGGACAGACTTTTCTCTTGCAATGAAAGTCATGTTGCCTTTCATCAAACGTGGTATTAGCATTATGAAAGTGTTGGTCACAACTCTAGCTAATGTTGAGTTCATTTTTTTTTTTAAGCTGTATTTCTTCTAGGGTTTATTATTCAATACATACATTAGAAGTTCTTGTCTTATCTACCCTAGAAGAACTCTGTGGCAACTATAGAAATGGGGAAATTATGACATTACAAGAAACTTGTACATGTTCAATTGAGAGAGAAGGGATTTCAGTAAAACTGTTTGATTACATAGGTTTTTTGGATGTTTCTGTTAAGAATTCCATACATTCAACCCTTCAATGAAGGTATGCAAACTCAAAAACATCTCCCAGATACCCCTCAAAAGGCCTTCGACAAAACCAGGGAAAGCTAGACAGAACTTTCCTGGTACTTTAAGGAAAACAAATGTACAGCCCCTCTTCTCCACACACACTACTGTTCAGGCCTTATTTATGTATCATAAAGATGATAGTAAGTACTTTGCAGATCATCTTTTAGTTAGAGCATTACTAGTAAAGAATTCTGTCCAAAAAACAGGTTAATACCGACATTGTTGTAATACTGAGGTATTAAGGTCATACAATACTTTAACAAATCTACAAAGAGTGAAACTTCCAACAACATATGAAAATATTCAAATACTAGTAGTACAGAAGGCATCCACATACTATTTGTTGAAATGGATACGACTTGAGATGTTGTAGGTATTACAAGACAATACTATTGAGACTTTAAATAGTTCATTTGCCCAATTAGCAAATAAGTTATTTTCTCTGCCAAGGTGAAACCATTTTCCTACTAGTATGGCAGTTGGAAAAAAGGGAACAAAGCATGAGTGTCTCCTTCTCATCTCCCTCTGAGGCCAGGTCCACGCTATAAACTTACACTGATATAACTACATTGCTCAGGGGTGTGAAAAATCCACGCCCGAGTGACACAGTTATACCAACCTAACCCCCCAGTGTAGAAAGCACTATATCAACAGAAGGGCTTCTCCCATTGACATAATCCAACTCTGCGAGGTGCGGTGGCTAACTACACCGACGGGAGAAGCTCTCCCGTCAGCATAGTAGCGTCTTCACTGAAGCACTATCCCAGCACAGCTGCACCACTGCAGGGTTTTATGTGTAGACCTGTCCTAAGCAGCTGCAGGCAAGGAAGGGATTCAGCCTCTAGCAGCTACTACTACTGATCAAAGCCTGGGGGCAGCCACACAAATCTGTCTAAGCGAGTGATTCTCAACCTGCAGCCCGCTGGCTGCATGCAGCCCAACTAGCACACAGCTGTAGCCCAGCTCAGCTGTGTGCTAAAGGCCAACCCACATGGCGGGGTCCGGGTTCCCGGCTTCCCAGAGCACTGGGGTCTGGGCTACCCCATTGCCCAGCGCAGCAGGGTTGGGGTCCTGTCGTGGCTGCCAGCCCACCCTGAGTGGCAGGAGTCCAGGGCTCCCAGCCAGCCCCATGGGAGTCCGGGGCAGCCGGCCAGCCCCACATGGCAGGGGTCTGGGGTTGGCAGCCCACCAGCCCCACATGGTGGGGGCCTGGGGCAGGGTCCAGGAGCTGCTGCTGCCCTGCCACCCGGCTCCTGCAGCCCAGGTAACACACTACGGGCCGCATATATGATAAATAAGTTGAGAACCACTGGTCTAAGCTCTTGTAGACCTCATTCAGCCGATGGAAGAATTGCTTGACAGGATAGCAGCAAAGAAGAGCGTATGTGATGGGGAAGGGAGGAAAATGAGGACAGGGAATTGGAGGAGAGGGTTGGAAGTGCTCTCCTTATATATTTCTAGGAACCAAAAGAGGGAGAGGAGAGGCATGTCCTTCCCCATGGAAGAGAGTGACGAGCCCAACCCCCATCTTCCGGGGGGAGCATCTCTCTCCAGAAAGCAGCTTCTTCTTCTAAGGCCATGTCTACACTAGAGAGCTTACAGCAGCACAGCCGTACCGATGCAGTTGAGCCGCTGTAAGATCTCTCGTGTAGCCACTCTATGCTGATGGGAGAGAGCTCTCTCGTCTACATAATTAAACAATCCCCTAACGAGCGGCGGTAGCTATGTCAGCGGGAGACGCTGTCCACACCGGCGGTGTCTGGGTTTTGTTTTGTTTTTTCACACCGCTGAGCAACATAAACTATACCAACAAAGAGGTAGTGTAGACATAGCCTAAGAATCAGCAAGGGACGGGGACTTCAAAATTTAACACCTACAGGCCAAGGATCTGTATGCTCCCAGGAAGCACCCAGCCCCAGGGAGCACAGCCTTTCAGCTCAGTGTCTAGCCAGCAGGCAGCTAGCCCATTGCTCCAGCCCAGCGATGGCTGCTGCCATGCCCAGCATAGGTCATTAGCAGGGCAGAGCTACGCTACAGGAGGGGGTAACAGAGCAGGGGAAGGGGGTGAACATTCTCACAGAAGGGGTAAGTGGAACACACCTTTTAGGCAACCCCCAGGACAAGAGCCAGGCACACAGCTGTTGACAGCGTTTTGTGGCTGCCCTCAGGCTCTGAGCAGCAGAATTAAACTAAGCCCTGGTCTACACTACACACGTGTCACTATAAGGACGTCACTCAGAAGCATGGGAAATACACCCCTGTGCAATGCAGTTACACTGTTCTAACCCCTAGTGTAGACAGTGCTATGTCGACAGAAGGCCTTCTCCAACTGACATAACTACCGCCTCTCAAGCTGGTCTACACCAGTGCTTCTCAAAGTGGTGATCCGCGGACCAGTGCCGGTCCACGAGCCATCGGCTGCTGGTCCGCAACAAGTTTCCTCATAAGAGCGTCAAATAGGATAATAATATGGCACCGGTCCCTGGCACATTGGAAAAAAAAATTGCCGGTCCCCCACATCAGATAGCTTGAGATGCACTCGTCTACACTATTGCTTAAGTTGATGTAACTTACATCACTCAGGAGTGTGAAAGACATCCCCCCTAAGCAACCTAAGTTACATCAACCTAGTGCCGGCGTGTACAGTGTTTATGTCAGCAGAAAACGCTCCCCCACCAACACAGCTTCCGCTTCTCATGGAGGTAGAGTAAGTAGCATGCCAACAGGGGCACTCACCCATCGCCAATGTAGCACGGGTAGTGTAGACTTGCCCTCAGGGAGGTGGAGTACTTACACGACTGGAGAGAGTCTTCACTAAGCGCTAAAGCGGCACCGCTCCAGCGCTGTAAGTGTAGACAAGTCCTAAGTATTTTGCTGCTGCTGCTAAAGGCTGAATCCCTACCACAGCAGCACGCAAACGGAAGTTTCACTCTCTCCCCTGGGGAAAGCGGGGTCTCCCTCGTCTGGCTCCTAGAAACACACAAGGAGAGCACGTCCCACCCTCGCCATCTATTCCCTGGGCTCCTTCTCCTCCCCTTCCCCAGGGCCATGGCCAGGCACACAGCCGGCCACGGCAAGGAGCAGGCTCTCAGCCGCCGCGCCGCCCCACCCCCTCCCTTGGGGCAGGGCTCTCCAGCAACCGGCTCACGTCTGGCCGCCGCTCAGGGCGGGCACGGCCCCGCTACTCCAGTGAGGTGCAAGCTGACAGCAGCAGCCGCCACCCCCCGAGTTTCAGCCGCGGGACCCGGCGCGGGGCGGCTCCCCGTTGGGCTCGCGCTATCCCGCGCGCTCCCGGGCGAGGGGGCGGTTACCTTCGCTCTTGCCGAGGATGCGGCAGCACAGGTTCTGTAGCAGAACGTTGGGCGATTTCTGATCCGGACACGCCATCCTCACCCCGGGCCGTGGGGAGGGGGCTGGGAACCTCCCTCTGCAACTGCCGCGCGCGCGCCCTGCGCCTCACAGCCTAACGGCCGCCGCCTCCCGTTACCTAGGGCGCCATTTTAACAGAACCCGCGGAAAGCAGCGAGCGCCCACAATGCCCCTGTGCGCGGGGCGACACGGAGCGCGCAGCGCCGAACACCTCCCGCCCTCCTCGCACAGCCCCGACGGAGAGGTTCCGGGGCACAAACTGACCCCCGGGCCTCTCAGCCAGAGCCTGACCCCAGACCCACACGTGGAGTCCGTTACCATCGCAGGGGGTGGCTGGGATTAGCACAGAAATCAGGACAGGAATATTCAGATCTCCCCCCGCGATGACGACAGGGTTTTTTTGTGGGGGGGTCTACAGGGTCCCTGCCAGACCCAAGACTCTCCTGCTCCCCACCATGGTGGCACCCCAGGATTGTTTCAGGCTGGCACCCTACTTGCTCTATGTCACCAGCTGCACCACCACACAATGATGTCACCACTCTATGATGTCACCGAGCTGTGTCATGCTGCAAATGAGGGCTGGCCAAAATACAGACCATCCAGCCCCCAGGAGATTGCAAAATTCCAAGACTTCTGTTTCCATCCTGAACTGGGATGAAAAATCAAAATCTCAGCTGCCTTCTACAAATGCTGTGTTCCCCAATAGCTCCCTTCAGTTTAGCAGTGTGATTTTTATATTATACATTACCCCATATTTAATAGAAAAGTTGAAATTATAAATCTTACTCTAACAAACATCAAAAAGAAACATTTTGATAATTTCCTGTCACACATGCTTGTTATCAATTCACCATCCTGTGAAACATTTCCATTTTGTGGAATCAGAATTTTCTGACAGAAAACTGTTCCAGTGGAAAAATTTCAACTATCTTCACTGCAAACAAGGTTGTGGCCCAAAAGAAACCACCATACGATGCCTGCACTGCTTGCCCACCCGGGTAAAGATGCGGGATCTGATGGAGATTTACCGCCTCTTGTCACAGCCTCCATAATTTCTGGAGTTTGGGCTCCATCCTGGCTAGGGATTATGTGGCTCCACCGCTTAATAGGGATGTTGAATAGAAAAGACAAATAGACACTAGGAAACTTTTAACATTTGGAGGGAGGTGGCTGAGGATGTCAGGAAAGACGGAAATGTCAGGCTTTTCATGTTCCTCTTGAAGGCAGGTATGTGTATGTGTGACCCCTCCAGGGGAGTTATGGGCCACCACCTTGACCAAAACACTAGGGGCCCTACCACTAAAAGTAGGAGTCTCCACTTGAGCTAACGAGCAAGCGTCTCTAGCCAAGAGCTGAAATAGACCCATAGACTGTGTAGACGCAGCAGAGAGATGTCACACATAACACACACTGACACGTGAGTTACATATTCATCTTTGCAAAATGCTGCTTGTGTGCATCTGTGGTTAAAAGAAGACTAAGGGCCACTCCTGGAAATTCTTACTCATATAAGTGGTCTTTACTAAATTATAGAGGGAGGAAGAAGTAACCCATATATTTACATTGTGTAACACTTTCCTTTGTAAAAGATTCTTGTGACCAGCTTTTGAAAATCTCTAACACTTTTATCATTTGCAGCAGGCCTCTGAAGTTCAGCTTGGAGAAAGCTCTCAGAATAGAGAAGCACCTTTTCTTTTTCCTCTGAAAATCTGTTCAGGTTTAACTGAATTATAAACTGTTAAAAATCACCATTACCCTTAGCACACTTGCATTCCTTAGGAACATTTTGGGATCATATCAAAATAATAATTGAACTTGAACTAAATCCAAGATTGTGTTCAAGCCACCAAAGCAGCAGTAACAGCCCTTGCTGTAGCAGTGGTGAAGGAGGAGAGGGAGGGAGGGATGGCTGGGCTGCCCCCGCCACTCCCAACCCTGAGCTGGCATGTCACATAGTCTCAGAATCCCATCCTCTCCTCAGGTGGTCCCACATAGGACAGAAGCGCCTGCAACCCCTGTGGAGATTAGAAAGAGCTGGACCAGGCTCCCATGACCACCCTCTGGAACCAACAGTCCATCACACCTGCTCCTCCATATCAGGACAACCATTTTCTCCTGCAGCCAGTTCATGTAGTTATTATCATAGCTCAAGTGCTAACAGTCTGCTCTGCAGTGCTCAATGTTCAAGGTCTAAAACCCTGCTGATAATGCATGATATGGGAGTTGTTACACTTGTACGTAATAAAATTTGTTTTTACCTTAGTCTTTAAAAAAAAATTAAAAATCCATAAAAATGATATAAAGGAAAATTATTTAGTTTGCAAAGTCAAGCACTCAAAAGTTAGCAAATGCCATTTTTGTAGTTACCTGTGCAACCTTAATTCAGCTCTATTGTGTGTATGCATTATGGTACAGTCTTTAGTTAAATGATCACTTATCACTTTTTCCACAAAGTTTTTCCTCCTTCAGTGCACATGATGGATGCACAAACAGGTAGAATTAAGGTTGAATGGCTTATCATAAAACTGGCATTTCCTGACTTTCAAGTGTTTGACTTTGTAATGTAAGTACATTTCATCTATCAAGGCACATGGGTGGTTACTCATATACCCTATAAAGAATATTGACAACACAGTGCCAGGAAACATTGTTGCACCACAAAATCTTTAGATCCCAAGGAAACCCAACCACTAGCAAACATTTTGTTACTGACATACTTTCAGTTTGTAAAATGGACACACTTGAACTATAACAGTTTCTGCTCCTGCTAATCATTTCTAATTATGACTATTATATAGGTCATGGCTCTAAAACTAAAAAAAATCATGGAGCAGAATAACAACACACTGTTAAAATGCACGTACTCATGCATGAGTGAACACACATGCAATTACCCATTTAGGTTCCCAATTGCTAAATCACAACAAAACCATATTCTTTGTTTATGCTTCTGAGATAATATCATGGGTATCATTATTATTTATCATTTGTATTACCACAGCAGCTAGAAGCTTCAGTCATGGACCAAGACCCCATTGTGCTAGGAGCTGTACAATCACGGAACAAAAAGTCAGTCCCTGCCCCACAAAAGCTTACAATCTAAGGGCAAGGCTACACTTGCAAATGTAGAGCGCTTTGAGTTAAACCAGCCTTCGTAGAGCGCAGTAGGGAAAGCGCTGCAGTCTGTCCACACTGACAGCTGCAAGCGCACTGGCGTGGCCACATTTGTGGCACTTGCAGCGGCATTGGGAGCGGTGCCTTATGGGCAGCTATCCCACAGAGCACCTCTACCCATTCTGGCGCTGTGGCTTGTGGAAAGGGGGTGGGAGGCATTCTGGGGTCCTGTCCCAACTCCCCGTGATGCATCGGTTCACATCCCAGCAATCCCTGTGCTTCCGTCCACATTTGGCGCCATCTTTCGATGTTTTTTGTACTGCACGCTTTGTCTTCCCTTTCGGTCTGTGGGAATGGAGCCCAAACTGCTGAAGAATATGCTGATGAGTTTCACCAGCACGTCACGTTTGGCAGTCGAGTTACTCCTTAAGATCCAAACTGACAGTGAGGACTCCGACGATATCGACTCGAGTAACACATACAACACGAGATTGCTTGTGGCATTCACGGACATGCCAAACCATGGAATGCTGCTTTAGGGCTCGGGAAACAAGCACTGAGTGGTGGGATCACATCGTCCTGCAAGTCTGGGATGACGAGCAGTGGCTGCAGAACTTTCGGATGAGAAAAGCCACTTTCATGGGACTATGTGAGGAGCTCTCCCACATCCTGCGGTGCAAGACATGAGATTGAGAGCTGCCCTCATGGTGGAGAAGCGGGTGGCTACTGCAATCTGGAAGCTGGCAACTCCAGACAGCTACCAATCGGTCGCTAACCAGTTTGGAGTGGAAAAGTCAACCGTTGGAATCGTGTTGATGCAAGTTTGCAGAGCCATTAATTGCATCCTGCTCAGAAGAACTGTGACTCTGGGTAATGTGCATGACATTGTGGCTGGCTTTGCACAAATGGGTTTCCCTAACTGCAGAGGGGCGATAGATAGGATGCATATTCCAATTCTGGCACCAGCCCACCTAGCCTCCGAGTACGTTAATCGGAAGGGGCATTTCTCTATGGTTCTCCAGGCGCTTGTGGATCACTGCGGGCGTTTCATTGACATTAATGCAGACTGGCCCAGAAAAAGTGCATGACGCACGCATCTTTCGGAACACTGGCCTGTTCAGGAAGCTGCAAGCTGGGACTTTTTTCCCAGATGAGATCACTGTAGGGGAAGTCAAAATGCCATTGTGATCCTTGGAGACCCCGCTTACCCTTTAATGCGGTGGCTCATGAAACCCTACACAGGGAGCCTTGACAGCAGCAAGGAGCGGTTCAACAACAGGCTGAGCCAGTGCAGAATGACGGTGAAGTGTGCTTTTGGCCGTTTAAAGGGCCGCTGGCGCTCTCTGTATGGGAAGCTGGACCTGGCCGATGACAACATCCCCGCGGATATATCCGTGTGCTGTACCCTCCGTAACATTTGTGAAGGGAAGGATGAACGATTCACTCAGGCATGGAACTCGGAGGTTCAACACCTGGAGGCTGAATTTGAGCAGCCAGAGAGCAGGGCTATTAGAGGGGCCCAGCGTGGGGCTGAAAGGATTAGGGATGCCTTGAGGGAGCAATTTGAGGCTGAAAGCCACCAGTAATGACTGGTGCCGTGCACGGGAGTGAAATGCAGTGGTTCCAATGTTAGCCGGAATCTGTGTTTGCTACACTGACTTGCAGTACCTGTTGCTTTCCTGGGCTAAGGTATCTTTTACTTTATGCAATAATAAAGAATGTTTTCAAAGACAAAAAATCCATTTATTGAAAAGAAACACAACTGCTTGGGAAACAGAAAGGGCAAGGGGGTGGGGTGGGGATCGGTACAATCACAGATTTGCGTATGTCCTGTTATAATACTCAGCCTTCCTGTCTGGAGTGCTGTGCAATGAGTGCTGCACTTCAGGATGGCTATAATGTATGGTGATGGGGGTTGAGTGCAGTGGGTAAGGGTCTTAGTTTTCAGGGCTGGGTGGTGAAGCTACAGGCGTTGGAGGCAGCTGGTGGCGATAAGAACCCGGATGTTGGGGAAAG